GGAGGTTGGGAAAGGGGGGAGGGGACTCCTACAATAATGTCAACATTTAAAAAGTTTTTAATTAAAAATAAAAGAAAAACTAGGATGGGTTCTACAATAGTGTTCAGCACTGAAGATGAACCCACAGAGGCTTCAAGGTCTCAAGACACATTTTACTCTTGCCACCCTCTTTTATCAGGCTTTCTTCTATGTTTATCCCCTTTCTCAAAACTTGCCAGATTCCTCCCAAACTGCCCATTTTTAGCATGAGTTTACAGCCCTATAAAAAAAACCTCTAATTCATATAGTATTTCCTAGTAATTAACTCATAAACTCTGCTCCACAAGGGCTAGAATTGCCATTATATTCTGTCTTTATCCTCATAGGCCCCAATGTTGTATTCTATACGCTGTGTTACAGAAGTAAATGTGTAGTAAGTTATTTCCTTATATTGTATTCTCATTCCCAGCTTCGTTTTTACAGTTTGCTTCTCTCGTAGTCTGCCAGGCCATTGACATTCAAGGTATAGCCAACATTCCTTGCTGCCTTTCGCCGACTGGCTTCCTTCAGTCCTTCCTAATCATCTTAGAATTCACTCTTTGCAGTTTCAAAGTAACTATCATTCCCAATAAATGTAGGCATAACTCCTTTAAAGACTGTCTAATGTCTAGCCTCTCTTTAGTTTATATTATGTCTCCAACAGTGCCAGATGAGGCAGAGGGGACAAAAAACAAGGGGAAGCTGAAAAGAAATCATTGGATTTTCCCAGAAGGAAATCTTACTGATCATAAAGAGAACAGTCTCACTAGAGCAGAGAGAACATAAGGCAAATTGAAATGGATTAATCAGGGAAATAGTAGGTGGTAGGGAAGCAAAGATAGGGGCAGGATCACCCATTTTAGAAAATGAATCAGGAAAAAATGGAAGTAAGGAAAGAATTTATGTCAAACAGAAGTTATAAAAAAAAATAAAAAAAAATAATAGAAAGGCTGTTCATATTTCAAGTTAGGATTTTTTTTTTAAAGCCTAAAAAGTGTGGGAGTGAAAATGAAGGATGTGATATCACATTACCCAATGGGCAGGTTTCAGCTTCCGATTTCATTGCCAAATTTCCACTCCATTACCTTGGAGCTATTACACCTGATTCCCCATTTTGTTATTTTGGAACCACTGAGAAGTAACACTTTGGCTCGGTTTCTCATTGGCTCCCAAAACACTTAATTTCTATTATCTTTCTATTTACCTGATCCACCTCTAATGAGCAGGTGGGAATCAGAAATGGATAATGGATATATATGAGCCTTTGCATCTCATGGCCGACTTAAATAATACCTTTAATCCATGACCAAATATTTATTATTCCTTTCAAAATGTTTGATCAGTTTATGATTTCCTCTAGGATGAGCTGTTCATGGTTACTATCTTTTTGTATAAATCGCCAGTGATGGCGTGGCTCAGCTTGTGCCGAGACTCATGTTCGGAACCTGCCGTCCTGGATGCTAATGCTGTTTGCTTTGTTCTGCGTGTGAGGCCCCCGTGACTGTTTATGAACAATCAGGCCTTATTTGCTGGCTTTGGACTGCAGCCTTTTGCTGTTTTCCCATTGAACAGCTGCATAACTTGGGCCACGACCAAATTGTTCCACTTGACATTACTATAGAGGCATTCTATTCTTTCCTTAAAAGAGAGATTACTGTACTTGTCTGTCTATTGTTTTAATTTTAGTTTAAAGTGAGGACCAAGCTAATGCCAACCACTTTCTTTCAAGTCCCCAGAGTTTTCGCAATCTCCTCCTTTCTTTGGCTGAATTCCCAGACAGCTTTCAGGCAGCAGCATTCTCCATTCATTGAAGGGGGGGGAGCAGCTGTTATATTACGTTAAA